ACTCATCATGTAACTGTAAAACCTTAGGAGTCTACCTATGTGGTAGCTCCGTAATAACAAATTAATAAAATCTAATCGGCAAAGGAAGCTACCTTAATAATAAAAAAAAAAAAAAAACTACTATAATAATTATATATATAATAATAGTTAAATTTTTTAAAACTCTTATAACTATTATAGATGATTTAACTATTATATCTCTTATAACTATAGGTTTCTTATAAAAATTGAAAATCTACTTAGCTATAAAATTAAGCTGTAACTAAGTTATATAAATTTCAGAAAGTAAACTCAAAATCTAATTTTTCTATAATAGTAGTATACATAAATTTTTTTTATCATATTTTGCAATTTAAAAATATAACTTTATTTAACTTTACAAAAATTTTAATAAAGGTTTGACAATTTTAGTATAGTAGTTAAGTTGCCAAACTACTATACAAAAGGTTTAGAGTTCAAGTTCTACTATCAACAGAATTAAATAATTACTTAAGATCTCTGTATTTAACTTACAGTAAACTCTATTTGTTTTTGAAATTGTAATCCTATAAATCATATTACACTAATATTAATTGAGTATTAGAAGTATGATATAACATTTGAAAAGATATAATATTATACAAATAAATCTTGATAAGATCTATAAGCAAAAGACCTACATAGTAGAAATTCTAAGCTAGATGAAGTAGTATAGATTTTGATAGTTATACTAATTAATGCTTAATCTGAAAAAGAAATCTATATAAGAAAGATATAATTAAATAAGATATAAATAAGTCTATTATATTCAAATAGCTATAATAACCAAGGTTATATAGCAATACTAACTTGACTTAACAGCTAACTAGATTTGAAAAGATCTTTCTTGTGAAATATTCAGTAAAATATAAAAGACAAATCTGATGAAAAGCTATAGTAAAAACTAGGTTTATATAAAAATTAAACAAGAATATATGCAAACTAGATTGAGATATAACATAACATAGTTGAGTTTCATAACATCCTATCAATTAGAGAGTTAGTAAAAGAATATCTAGAGATAAAACCTAAATTCTAAATTATAAAGTTTATGAATACATATCAATTCTGTTGATGTCTTCTGAAAAGAGAAGTAGGATTAGATTAATTTAGATAAAATAAAGATAGCAAAGTAAAAATAAAATATAGCTAGAAAATTTAAATAAAGAATTTTCAGGTATAGCAGCTAGTGTAAAACCTTCAGATGGATTACTTAAATGAGACAATCTAAAGTTGTACATGTGGCTAGTTGTACTCTCACATATATAATCATTTCTCTGGCCGATGGCATGTTGTATAAAGTAAAAAATAAAAAATAAAAAAAAATAAAAAAAAATTTAATGAATTTTTAATTAACATAACTCGAATTTCGATTCGAAAAAGTAACTCGAATATATGATTCGAGACTCGTCAGAATTTAACTCGCGAGTCACGAGTTTTCACGAGTCAGTCTCTACATTACATTATATAAATTTTGATTTAAAATTAAAAAATTTTTTTGCAATTAAATACAAATATGTAAACAATAGAGTTTTATTTATATAAAACCACAATAAAAAAAAACTTTCAAATAAATTAAAAAATTCTTTAAATCACTTATTTTGACTTTTTTTTCATATTCTCTCGTTTTTTTTTGCATATATTCATAATCTTTATTTATTTTCTTAAATCATAAGTTAAAAAAAATTTTTTTTGCGGCATAGTAAATTTTCATAAACATATCTTTGGTTGGTAAATAAAAAAATGAGAAATAATATATAAAAAATAAGATATAAATAATAAGACATAAGAAATAAGATATAAAAAATAAAACATAAGAAATAATATATAAATACGAAATAATACATATGAAATAAGACAGGAAATAAGACATAGGAAATAAGACATAAGAAATAAGACATAAGAGATAAGATTACATAAGAAATAAGACATAAAATATAAAAAATAAGATATAAGATATGAAAAATTAGACATAAGATATAAAATAGCATAAATGTTTAAAACGATCTTAATTGATATCATATATGGATTTAATATTCTTAGAGGGGGGATATATGATCATATATTGATAAGCATAACAAAATAAGTTGCTACTTAAATTTTTTTTTTTTTTTTTAAAAAAAAAGAAACGACGACTAGGTAACAATTAACGAGGGCGAAAATGTAAACATTTTACTGTTGAACATCGAAATTCGTAAAATCTTGTAACAGTTGGTTATCGATAATTTCATTTTCATAAAGATAAAAAAAGTCATAATCGGGATAAAGTTGGAAATCATCGAAATTCATATCGACATTCATAAGATAACCTGGGAGCATTGAAGAATTATCGTTGACATTTAGATTATTTAAAAAATCGGGAGATAATGGGGATAACGGGAGATTTTGTAATGGGAGCATTGAAATGTCAAAGTCTATGTTATTTTGTAATTCTGGAGATAACGGGAAATTTTGTAATGGGAGCATTGAGATGTCGAAATCTATGTTATTTGGTAATTCTGGTGATAATGGGAAATTTTGGAATGAATTATCAACATTAATATTCTCAATTGGAATATTATCTGCGTTTATATTGGATAATTCAGGAAACAACGGAAAATTTGGGAACGAGTTATCAACAAACAGATTTGATAATTCTGGAAATAATGAAAGTAAGATATCATTATTAACATTTTCTTGTTCATTTACTACCATTTCATCTAAAGGCAGATGAACTGGGACCGATTGGTCAAAGTCCGGAACTGACAGGGTTTTTTTATTGTGATGTGTTTTTTTCGGTTTTTTCTGATTTTTTCTTTTTTTAGGTGAGAATTTATATTCAGGATATTTTTCTTGATGTCTTTCCTTAGCTAATCCTTCGAGAATTTCGAAGAAACGAAGAACTTCTTTCGGTTGTTTGTTCCATTCTTCAGATACCAGGTGAGAAACATCACCATTTTTCATTTTAATTCCTTCTTTTCTTAATTTTGCGCTAAAGTCTTTACGATATAAGAAAAATGCGTTTAATGGACGTGGTGGATCCGAGGAAGTCGGGTTTCTTTCGTATTGTATTACACGACGTGAATGACTTGCAGGAGAAATCAATTCATCAAGATCCAACGTTAATGGATAAGGTTTAACATTCAAAAATTCATCTTTCCACAATGAATTTTCAGAGAAAGAGTTATAGATTCTCATCTTTTACGAAATCCAATACAAATTGAAATTTTCTAAATTTCCTTATTTAAAGAGAAGAAAATTCTCAATTTTTTTTTTTGTGAGAATTCAAAGGTCAAGGAGGCATTGGTCTTTAAATAAAGAAAATTTCCTATTCGCATATATTTTAATTGATTTATTTAATTAAAAAAAAAAAAAACCAAAAAAAAACATAAATATAATACAATAAAATAAATATCGGTTTATCCGGCCTGCGGTAACCGCCTTAGATTGTATAACAAAAGATTGAATAAAATTAATTCATAATGTTTATTCAGAAACAATTATATAACATGATCGCGTCATCTAGCATCGAATTTCCGGAAAAACTTTAAAATTTGAACCAACTGACTAATACGTACATGGAGCTAGGTGAAATCAATCATATTGTATAAAAGATAAACAATTTGAGAAAGTATATAAGAAGATCATTACCTACTTTTTTTAATAACAATGGCATATACTGTATGACACAAAATCTTTACGTAGCTTCATAGCATAGCAAACAGATTAAAACAAAGCAGGATAGTAATAATTTTCTCTAAAATATTATAATATGCTTTGAGGTTCATGGTCTCAGCCATTGTTCACATTGAAATTTAAAAAAAAAGTCAAAAAATGAGAGAATCCAAGTTAATAAATGTGATATGCTAGTTGTCTAAGTTAGGTTATTTAACCGGTTAAACTATGTTGAAGTCTAGACTTAATCCGAACTTTATATATAATTTTTTTATGGTTCAACTCGAGAAGTAATTCCGCTCGAACCATAACTATACGTTAAACTTATTGCTGAAAAATATTAATGTCTAATCTATTCAATCTAGAAATGAGATCCGGATAAACTACCTACAGAATTTTCTAGATAAAATCTCTCATTTTATTTATTCAATATAATATGTAGAATTACTATAAATAAATTCAATGCGCAATTGCACTTTGAGCAGGTGCATACGTAAAATTGTCATGAGATTAAATAATTACTGTATGTAATAGATTAACCGGAAGTAACTTCCGTACTGTAAAGAATACAAACTATCTATTTTTTTAAAATATTATATAATAAAAGCTGTTGAAGCTTTTTTATTTATAATATATAACATTTTATTTAATAAAGTACAGTATATATTATTGAGCTTATCTAATCTATGTTTTAAGTTATTTAATAAGATGATAATATTGTTCACATGAACTATGCATATACTACAACTTAAGAAGTGCCTAACATTTTTAGACCACGTATATAACACTGCTGATACCTATTCGGAATCTATTTTTATCATCATAAGTTACAGTTAGAAAAACATCTTTTTTATCTAATTGAGACGTTAAATGTTTTGCCTATAATGAGAGGTTCAAAAGAATCCATTTTTGACGTATTTTTTTTTTTTTTTGAAAATTCTTTTAATTTCCGAATGCATTTTATTATGTACAATATAAAATTAATGAAGCAGGAGTCTCCAGACATTCCTATTTCATTCTCCTATTTAGGAATTGCAAATATTATGATTGTTAGTTTAATACGTAAAAGTTTTACCGGTAATACGTATATAGAATTTTTTCGAAACAAGTATCACAGAATTTAGCGGTAGCTAGCGCAGAATTAACCGATTAGGAACAATAATTTCAGTTACAGACTCAGCTGCCGATGTTTCAAAAAATAAATTGTATTTTTTTTTTTTTTTACCATCTTCGTTTTGGGTCATGATAATTACTAAATTTCTGAGTAGAGCTGATATCGAGAAGGAATTGAAGTTGAAAATGACAAACGTAAGGTATTATTTATTCACCATCAAATCTGCATAGATAAGTAATGCTAGAATGAACCAAATTATGCATCATGGACTTTAAAAAAATAAATGAAATCTAACAAATTATATTAAATAGAATTGGAGTTACAAAAGTCTAATGAATAGTGTCAAGATCAATGTTCTATTAGGTGGTTTCAAAGTGGTTTCAAAATTAATAAATAAGTAGCGCATTTTAAAATTAAATAGGATTTTTTTAAATTGGATTTTTACTATGTTGACTTATAAATCGGAAAAATAAAATATGATTGTCTGATTTTAATTTCGAAACCCCAGTATTAGAAATTGAATTAACGATTTAAATAATAATATAGGCGTTAACGGATAAATATATTTTTTTAAAGCGGATACCATTTAAGTATTCGGATCCAATAATTATCAGGGTCAACACTCAAAGGCTACATATATGAACAGTTGTGCTTAGACATCACCCTAGAATAACTAATAGTTAACAGTTAATCATAATTTAATGTAACAAACGTTGGTTTTGTAAAAAAATC